CCCGACCGACGGGCCGTCGTCCGACTCGTAGTACCCCCCCTCCCCCCCCCCCCCCCCCCCTCCTCCCCGCTCCCCCTCCCCTCGTCCTATGCACTAACTTGCTTGTGGTTGGTGGCTGGTACTCGCAGGGCAAAGGCGGATCGCAGAGGCGCTGGCGGCGCCCAAGGCGACGGAGGCCTTTGCCGCGCTGGCGCCGACCCGACCGCCGTTGCCGTATCGACCGCCCGAGGATGCACCAGTCCCAGCCTCGCCCGAGGCCATCCTGCCGACGGCGCTGCTCTCACACATCACGACGGGGACGCCTGCTGTTGTAGCAGTCTTTCTGCCGTACGAGTTGGCGCAGGACGCCGAGGCTGCAGGCGCAATTGTGCACGACGTGACGGCGGCGGCCAAGGCGACGTCGACCAAGGTTGTGGCGGTCCTGGTCCAGGAGATGGAGCCCGACTCGTCTGAGTCGCAAAAGGAGGTGTTGGCGGCGATCCGGGCGGCGACGTCGCTGGCGTCGAAGCGGATCTTTGTGGTCTCGGCCGGCGGCGACGACGTGTCGGCCATGGCCAAGCTCGGCAAGGCGCTGACTGACCTTGCGGCGTCGTACTACCAGGATGAGGCGCGTCGGATCCGGCGCGAGAAGGAGGCGCTTGACAAGACGAGCCAACAGCCCGACATTGTGCGGGCGTACCTGACGATGGCGCTTCTCCGCGAGCTGCAGGGCGAGGTGGCCGGCGTCGGTGGCGGCTCGTCGGCGCTCAAGTACTACAAGTCGGCGTACTCGTTCCTTCGCGAAGTGCAGCCGGTCTCGCCACCACATGCGCTGCAGGTCCTCTGCGTGGCAGAGCTGGTGCACTTTAAGATCCTTGGGGCGTACTTTGCGGCCGACGACGGAGGCGAGGTCGTGGCTCAGTTCAAGGGCCACATGGCAGTTTTTGACCGCGGGCTGGCAGCAACATGGCTAGCGCCGTCGCACCTCGCGTACGCAGGTCACGCTTGGGTTGCTCGTCAGTACCACGTCCTCGCTGCTCTGGTGGAGAGGTACGGAGTGCCCGGCGTGTCGTCGCTCTCCAAGCCGCATCCGCTCCTTGTTCCCGGATACTGCTACCAGCAGGCAGCGGCGGCGACGTCGCGGCGGGCGGCGTCGCAGCTGGCGACCGGCGTTGTATCTGCAATGGAAGACCGAATTGCGGCACACGCGCCTGCACAGGAGCCGGCAGCGCTGCTCTTCTCGGGCCTCGGCGCCATCGGCTTGCTTCCATCCGAGGAGACCCAGGCTACTCTGGCGGCGCTGGAGGCGACGGTCGATGTTCACGCGCTGGTCCTTCGGTTCCTCACGCTTGCGCACGACTACTACAACGCCGAACGACCCCGCGCGGCACGGACGTTGGCGCGGATTGGTCGGCTGATGGCGGAGGCCCACTACGACGCCGGCAACTATGACAAGGCACTGGTCTTCTACCAGCGGCTGTACCCGGTCTTTGCCGGTGAAGCCTGGCACGCCATCACGGTCGACATGCTGCGCAAGATGGTGGTGGCAGCGACGGCGTCTGGCGCACTGACTCCCAGTCTCGAGTACGCGCTGCGACTGGCACTGGCAACGAGCGCGCCGCTGGAGGTCCGAGCCGAAGCGCTGACGCGGATCCACGCTGCGGTCGGTGCGGCAGCGCCGGCTGACATCGACGTCCTGCCCGTACCTGTTACAGGCTCGGGAGGCGGAGATGGAGTGGTTCTTGACCTGACCGAGCTGAGCATTCCGGCGTTTGAGCTCTCGGCAGCGTTTGGCGCTTCGACAGCCCTCATCGGAACCGAGCTCCGTGTTGCCATCCTGCTCCGGGCACTCACGCCTGCGCCACTCATTGTGAACAAGGTGACGGCTGCGGTGAGTGGCGGTGGCGGGTGCTCGCTGACGTTTGACGTTCCGTCGGGCCTCCTCGACTCGGCACGGGTTGTCCGGCTCGAGACGAGCTTTGTGCCGACAGCGCCGGGCAAGCTGACGGTGACCGAGCTCGCGTTTGACGTCGGGCCGACGCCCAACGCGCTCGTCCTGCGCGTTGGGAAGGTGCCGATTGCGCCCGTCGATGTCGAGCACCCCCCGCCGGCGCTCGACATTGTGGTGATGCACGCGCCGCCAGCGCTCATCGGCGAGCGGTACCCGGTTCGGGTGACACTGACGGCCCGGGAGGCAGTGACCGGTGGCGCGCTCCGGGTGGAGCCTGTCGACGCGTCGCGAGCGATTGGCGTTGCGCTGGCGCTGGAGGACGCAGAGCACAGTGTCGGCGCGATGCAGGCCGACGAGTGCGCCGACGCCGAAGTTGTGCTGGTGTCTGGGCCGGCACCTGTCGGCAGCAGTCTCGGCAACGGCGGGGCGGCGGCCTCGATGATGTCGATGACGTCGCTGGAGGCGTCGGGTGCGGCGGAGATTGCGCTCCGGGCGGTGATCGAAGTTGCGGACGGAGTGCGCAAGGCGCACCTGTTTGTGGTTCCGCTCTGCGAGCCGTTTGTACCACACTTTGAGCTCAACCCGCTGCCGTGGGTTGTCGGCGAGGTTGCGTATCTCATGCTCCGGCTCGAGTACTCGGCGGCGCACGATGTGGTGGTGGAAGGCGCCACTGTGTCGATCTCGGGAGAGAAGGGCGGAGGCGCACACGCGGCAGACGTGGTGGTGGTCTCGGAGCACGCGCCGGCAACGGCGCTAGCGCAGGGCGAGTCGTGGAACGCTGTGTTTGCGGTCAAGGCGCGGAGCGTGGGCAAGTGGCGCGGGGCCGTGGTGTCTGTGACTTGGCGGCGGGCTGAGAGCGAGAGTGAGGCGGTGACCTCTGTCTTTAACGTGCCCGAGTACATCGTGCGCTCCGTGCCGCTCCGTGCCGTCCTTCACGCGCCGCGGCGGTGCAAGGTCGGCGAGCCGTTTCCCGTCGAGCTGGACATTGTCAACGATCGCAGTGTGCCCGTCGAGGTGACGCTGAAGGTCTCGGGCGGCCCGTCATTTGTGTTTGGCGGCGACCGCAAGGCGACGCTGCATGTGCTGGGCTCGGAGACCCGGTCTGTGCGTTGGGCGGTGGTCGGCGTCCGCGAGGATGTTGCAGGCGCGCTGATGGACATCGAGGTTGTCGAAGGCATGGTCGGTGGCGCCGGCGCGTCAGCGAGGGCGTGGCGCATCCCAGTGGTGCGATCCGGTGGTGGCGAGTGTCGGGTCGAGGTGAGGCGGTGAAAGAGAGGAAACACGTGTGTTTAGCCGCAGAGCGGGAGAGGAGAGCCGAGGCGAGCGGCTTGAGGGCGTCGGGCAGGAGCGCGGGCGCGGCACAGTAGTTGTACGGCATCCACGAGTTCGGGAACGGGTAGAGGACGTACTCGTTGAGGATCATGAGAGCGAGGTCAAGGCCCTGCGGCGCCGGGGCGTCGGCAGCAAGACGGCCACGCGAGCGAAGGTCGGCGACAAAGGTAGCGAGGATGTCGGCAAGCTCGAGCTTCTCGTCGTAAGCGTTCCACTCGTCGAGATGGGCCTGGTCGCGGAAGCAGAGGCCACGCCAGACGAGCGAGACACGCAGGTCCGAGGTCTTGTAGGTGGCGACAACGTCGCCGGAGCGGGTGACGACGTCCCAGGTGGCGTCGCCGCGAAAGACGAGCTTGTTGGCGTCGGCGCGCTTGAGGATGGGCAGGTCGGTGGCGGTGGGGCGAAAGGCGTCAGTGCCGTGGACTTGCTTGGAGCCGTCAAGAATGATGCCGGCGTTACGAGTGGCGTTGAAGACCTTGACCTTGCCGCCGGGACCCTCGGGGTAGTAAAAGAACGCACCACCGTTGACCTTGTTCTCGGGCCAGTCGTGGATGTAGGCGACGCCCTGGACCTGGCGGATGCGGCGGTCCTCCCAGAGCTCCGACCACTGCATGGCCACAAGGAGCCAGATGGGGAGGTCAAACCGGGTCGCACCCCAGAACCATGGGGCGTCAAAGTGCATGGGCACCTGCTGGCCGGGGATCTGCACAATGATGGCGAGCTGGAACGGCTCGACAATGGGATTGTCGACGCCGAGATCGCAGACGCCAGCAGCGCCGTCGCGGTAGCCTTTGGACTCAAACAGGGTCCGGAACTCGGGCATAGAGGTGAGAGAGTCGTCAGAAGTGAAGAGGAACTTGTTGAACGAGAGCATGCGCGAGACGAGCGACTCGTAAGACTCCTTGAATCCCCCGCGACCGCCCGAGAGGATGTAGTGACGCCCGATGTCGAGCCGTGCCGGGAACACACACTTTGTATTGGTCTTGTCCGGCACCATGTACCCGTGAGCGCAGCTGCCATCGTCGCGCAGCGGCTGGCCCTCGCCCATGTCGTCGATGGCTGATGTCTGCAGGTGCGGGTAGGGAGGAAGAGAGTAAGTGTTGCATGCGGGGCAGAGCGGGAGGGGAGGGGGGGGGGGGGGGAGG